AAAAGTACTGGTTATTGTTTGATGCCTTGCGGCTTACGGTAATCTCATAATGTTCACATACTCCTATTTATTTCGTCGAAATTGGAAGAGGGCGTATCTAATTACGTACGGAAAGGTGAATATGGAAATACCGGGTGCTCAGAGCGAATGTATTAAAATAATTTTTACACTTTTAATTTTTTTTTTTTTTGTAAAAATTATTTTAGTACATTTGCTCCGAGCACCCGGTATTTCCATATCTACCTTTTCGTACGTAAAAAGATACGCCCTCTTTCAATTTCGACGAAATAAATAGGAGTATGTGAACATTATGAGATTACCTAAGCCGCATAGGCATCAAACAATAACCAGTACTTTTTGAATTATCTTAAAAACAAATGATTCAATCGAAATTTTACAAGAAACAAAAAATACTCAAAAATGATTGAACACATGAAGAAAAATAGATAGGAAGTCATTAGCGCACGTACAAACAAAATATGGGGGTAAGTGTGAACTTGACCCCCAGTATCTTGAATATTTGACAGTTATTTTCTGTTTTGTTTTCCTCACACGATGTAACTCTTTGTGCTGAAGTAATGTACCAATTTTGAGATTGATATCTTATCAAATACGCGAGTAATTAGAAAAAAACAGTTTTTAATTTCCAACTTTGACACCCTGTATACCGAATATGAAGGGCTAAAATGAAAAATGATATTTAGAAGCTCATATTGTTTTTGTTCAAGGAATATGTGGTTAATGGATTGACCTCCTTTTAGCGGACACCCTGTATATGCAAGTGAGGGATTTGAAGGAGCAATTTCTGACAGAGAGTTGTATGAAAGATCAGATCTAAAACATTTCTTGCAAAATAACGATGCTCTAATGGCAGATCGTGGATTCACTATTCAAGGCAAATTGGATGAGATTAATGTTAAATTTTATACACCACCATTGTTGATGAAGAGAAAAAAGCTGACGCCAGAAGAAGAAATATTAACGAAAAAAATTGCCAAATCAAGGGTTCATGTTGAAAGAGCCATTAGAAAAATAAAGACATTCAAAATTCTATCTAAAAGATGCCCCATTCTTCTTCTTCCTATATTGTCAAGTATTTTTAGTGTTGTATGTTTTTTGGTAAATTTTGATGATTGTTTAGTAACATGAGATTGTTATTTTAGTAATTGTTTCCATGTATAGTTCCTTATTTAGATTTCTATTGTAAATATTTTCCTATTAAATTCGTATGACTTCTTCCTATATTGTCCAGTATTTTTAGTGTTGGTAAATTTTGATGATTGTTTAGTAACATGAGATTGTTAGTTTAGTAATTGTTTCTGTTTCTGTTTTTATCAGAGTTTCTCATTGAAAATGAATGCAGACGAAAGTGAAAGTGAAATCGAAGAAGTTCTAATGGGTACACCACCAGAAATATTGCAAGCAGCAGCCACAGCTTCTAGCAAATTGCTACCACAAAAACCTGGGATTCAATACGAACGCGCATACAATCTTTTTATGCTGTTCCAATATATTATTATGTGTTCGTAGAAAAAGTATAGTATGTAACGCGTTTATAAACTCTTCTAGAGACTCGTTTATTAAACACTCGCTCCGCTCTGCTACGCTCGTGTTTAAAATACTCGTTACTAAAAAGGCGTTTATAACACTTGTTACATAATATACTATTAATAAATCAGTGTTATAAGCAACAGGTTTCCACATAGTAATTATCAAAAATTTTTATTGAAGAAATCAAAATGATACAAAAAGGTTTGATAGGTACCTAATACAATAAACAGGCTTCCACCGAGTAGGTAATCTTCAAAAAAACTTAATCAAAATAAGAATATGTACCTAATACAATACAGTTTGATATTTAATACATGTTATTACAATGATAAAAACAAGTTCTCACAGGGCAATCTTAAAAATTTCAATTGAAAAAATGAAAATGAATCTCACTTTGAAACAGACTCCAGATTTATTGGACAAAGACCTCTTACTGTTCTCATAGCAAACATTTCTGGAACATAAATGTTACAATAAAAAAAGTGTGTTTTCTTTTTTATTCCTCCTACCATATTTGAATAATTCTGTTTGTGTACTGGAATAACAAGAATGCTTTTTGGACACCAAACAACAAGATTACATGTTTCTGTTTCTAGAATTATCAAAGAAGTGATGATTTGGTACAAATAGGGATGATTTTCTCTGATGCAAATTTTTCCATCTTTTTTTTGTAAAAAGAAATTACTCAATTGAGATTTTGACAAAATAGCATCAAATTCAGTTAAATTTTTACATTTTTCCAGAACTTTGGGGCATTTTTATTTCTATGATGTGATGAATTTCACTTCCATCCATCACAACACCATCTAAACTTGTTGCCAAATGTGGATATCCTTTATTCACTAGTAGACCAACCTCAATCATTTTTTGATTTTTATGTAAGAAAGTAGCTGCATATTGATTTCTTGCTCTTGTTTCATTTTCTCTTCCATAACGCATGGCTCCTGTTTGAAATAGTATACTTTCTAACCATAAATTTTTCAACAAAAAATTTTTTTTTGCAGACTCAGAATGCAACTGGGTCACAACTAATTTCACATTTGTTGATGTTATAAAATAAGTTCTCCATTTCATCCAGTTCACAGTACCCTGTGGTGAAGTACCAGGAACTTCGAAGAGAATCGTTTCTTGAAGGTCTGAGAAATATTGCATGTTTTTCAAAAACTGTTCAGTTTGGAATCTCAGTAAAATTATTTCTTCATTAGTATATTCAAAATCTTCATTTTCCAATTTCAGAACTGACTGAAACATGGAACCATTTTCCACCTTTTGCAGATTTCCAATAAAGTTATTGATATTTATATTCCTGACATACTCCACAGGCCTTGGATCAAATGTTGCTCTAGCTGTGGGTCTGTATCTCTTTATTGGATATTTTGCTGATATAATAGACATAGGATTACGCTTTTTAGATCCTAAACCCCACTGTCTAGGTTGACTAGTACATGATAATTGATTATGCCCATATTGTTCAACATACTCCCATATGAATAATAAAAGTGCAGTTACATGGCTACATTTTCCCAATGCTGATTGTTTACATTCACACTTGCCCTCAGTAACTGCACCTGATATAATGTTGATTGTAACTGAGACATTATAATTTACAGTTTTCTGGAATGAGGACAAGCATTTACATCTGCAAAAATATAAATTACCCTGTCTACCATCCTCTATGTTGCTGATATGATCACTAGACACATACTGACTACCTCTTTTGAATGACTTTACTGTTGTTGAATGATTCTTTTGGGGATTGAGCTCATTAGTTTCAGGATCATCTGATTCAATATTCTCTCCAACAATGAATGTATAAATGTGACCCTTATTGTAATATTGGGGTATATCACAAGATGGAAAACTTCCCCACACCAGATTTGCTGCTTGACTGTTAGTTCTACTTGAGCCAGGAATTTGAACAGCATTTTTCTTCTTATCATACCACTTTCCACCATCAATGCCAAGAAATATGTCATTCTCCTTTCCTGCATCAAAACAGTTCTTCACTCTGGAAGTAAGAATGAGTATTGTTTTTAGGGCATAGTTTTTCACATTATAAGTTTGGTAAGGAAGTTGCAGAATTATTTCACTTTGCATACATTTTGAAGCATCTCCAAATTTCAAAATGAAATAATGTTGCTGTCAAATGAATGATAAATAATCATTTTATATGCATGCTGATTATGTTATCAGAATATTGAATTTTACATACCTAGTAATCAGCTCTTCTTTAGTCCCATTTTTCTTGTATCCTCTACACTCCAACTAACGTTGAAGTTCCAAGACTGAGTGATCTTCAATGGATATGTTATCTCTGAATATAGCACCAGGAACATCTTTTGGTTCGAGAGTTGTCATGATGAGAGCAAAAATATAAATTTATTTTTCACAATATTTCACAGTACAGTATCAGAACTCAAGACTATATAGGTACATCAACATAGAAAATCTACTACTGAAGTAATGAAGTATCATACCTTGACATCGTACCTACCCAGACATAATGGGTAGGTAATGAGCAGTTGAGTGGTTTCTAGTAGGTACATTTTGGAAAAAGAGGTAATGCGGATAATTATGCAAGTTTGGTTATTTTCATGATGATCCTTCCTGTCTTCTCTAATAGGGGCTCAACATAATAGTTACACGGGTACACAGGTACTTCTTGAATGTCTTCGATGCCTGAATCATAGGTAAACTAGATCAAATGAAAATTATGAAAATACTTGAATTCTTGATGAGTTTTTTTTATTTTTTTTATATAGTTTTGTTTTGAATTAACCTAAAAACGATCACAGGTGTCACAGAACAAAACAAAAATGTGTCATTCATCTTACAGGCAGCCAATATGATAACTGAAATAACTTCAAAATCACTTGATATCAATTTTTTTATAATTTCCAAAGATTCGGACGCCGGGGACTTCCTGGATGATACAAAAATCGATAAGGACAAAAATGGTATCAACATTTTATGAAAATAATCTGTTTTCAGTGGTAGACGTTTTTAGCTATTTTCAAGGTTGGCAATAAATTGCTGAACTCGTCCATTGGAAAGTCTGAAGACCCAAGGTGTTGTTCAATATACCTTCTTGAGGTGGCTAATATGATGGTACTCCCCCATTAAAACGTTGACATTTCAACTTCATGTCCTCGGGCCATTGGGTTGTTAATGTTGCCGTGGTAACTGAAAGTTAGTAGTAGTTAGCAGGTTATGTTAGTGATATTATTCCGTTCCGAATTCACTGACTCATTTCTCTTGAACTGAACTGAGTCAGTTAACATGCATTCTGTCTAATCGAATTCTTTAGGAAGAACGCATAATAACTGATTTGGTTCAGTTTTAGTGAAATATTTCAGATAATTCTAATTGAAGAATCTCACTGTTGGTAGCGGGCACAGTTGTAGTGCTTTTCGCTACATATAATCCTCATAAGCATTGCATTTCGACAGGTAGGACAGACAGAGTGCTGAAAAGCTCCGAATGGAGCCGACTGCTTGTGGGACAACTGTCTCCCAATATTGACGTCGATAGCGAAGTGGACCACATCAGAGAACATAGCACTGACCTGATGAACCAAGAACTCGGATTCGCCTCCCATCTGGGCGTGCCGGCTGTGTGGATAACGTTGACAAAGCCGGACAACGTGCAGTTCGCCAGGGTGCTGAACGACAAGTTGGGCTCGGGGTTTAGCTACAGTGTTTGGGTCAACATACCCATGGTACATCCGTCCCGGTTCAGTCCGATAGTGGATGTGGAGTACGATACGTGGGACTGGTGGAATGATTTCAGGTGAGTTGATCACGATATTGTTTTTTGCGAGAAATTAGAGGAATTGAAAAATCAGTTGGACTCTCAACTTACTCAACTCATTGGAAAGGAATATTCTGGGATATAATTATGAACATAAAAAATTAATATATTTACGAAGAAATACATTGAGAATTCACATTCTCTATATAATGAAAATATCAATTCTTTCTCGGTCTACAACTACTTTCCTGGCTATATGCCATGACGAACATTGAATTACATCTATTGAACATACATGATAAGAATTTGAAAACACAATCTTCTGAAGTAGAGAATTTGCATTCTCCTTCATATAATGATAAGTTAGTAATATCATTCTGAATATTCAACAGAAAACAACTACTTTCCTGGCTATTTGCCACGTCGAACATTGAATTGTATCTGTTGAATATTCTAAAAGCATAAAAAATGAGAATCCTCTGAAATTGAGAAATGACATTATTTCTCAAATCGGATGATATAACATGATGTATGTAGGAATTTTTGTTTTCATTTTCTTTGTATTAATCATAATATTGTTTGCATTGAATTTTATTGTTTCTCCTACGGTGAATTTATATATCACTCAGTGTTTCAACATTCCGTTAGGATTACGAATTATCGAGAATAACAGTGGTAACCGGGATAAGAGATATTAAGAAGAAGGGGGCAAATCTGAGAGACGTTCGGAATGTAGTATTTATAGAGGTTTTTGGTTGGGATATTGAAGAAACTCATAGCTAATAATAATAGTAACAGACGTATAGAGACGTGGGAAGCATCTTAGTCGAGCCGCGACGGAAGTAAAGAGGTTCTTGAAAGGTGATCAGATCAAGCTGAATATTGTGACGTACTGTCAGTGTTCCTGTGACATTGGTTGTCCGAATAATAACTTTCATTTACCCCCTTGGGCTATCATTAACCCTAGACAACATCAAAATCCTACATGTACATGAGAAGTATACTTGTATAAACTCTGATCTTGATGAGCTTTGAACTTCCGAAAAAATCATTCGTATCAGTGATATTGGAATTATATCTCTCACAAACAGGTCATATGACTTCACTCGAATAAACTCATTTCCACTTAAATAACTTTTTGGTCAAAGTTACTTCTTGAAAAAAGATTTATTTTATGTCATACGAAGGCAACTAAACAATTCATATTCTAATTCTAGACTGAAAAATAAATGTGAGAAATACAGTGTCATGGGCAACTGATTCTAGGAAATATGTTGATCTTGCATTATCAGGCGTCCGATTTCGGTGATGTGTGTGGTTTCCGTAGTTGTCGATGATTCGGGAATATAACTCCTCCTTCATTAGAATGAAGCTTCCTCCGGAAGATTTACTTTCCATTCTTGGAAGTTGACCTCTTGGAGTTCATTTACGTTTCCGAGTTGATTCGTGATTTTCTTCCATTTGCGCCAAATAAGGATGGTACTTATAACAGCGACACTAATATACAGGATGATGGTCCAGAGTCCAGAGGCTTGGTCTATGGTAGCCGAAATCTTGATTTATAGTTGAGACGATTCTATTCGTCGGAATTTCTGAAATTTTCAGCGTTTTCATTTTGATCTTGAAGTCGGTGAAATTTTCCTTCTTCAAGTCGAATATCAATTTGTTCGCTACCAGTGGCCTGCGATAAGTTTTGTCTTGAAAACCAATTTCCTAGTCGTGGAAGAATATCTTGCTCTTTGAATTTTTCATAAGATATATTCCTGATACGGTCTTAGTTTGTATTTCGTCTTCGCACTTCTTCCATATCTGAGATTTCTATACATTGACAGTTGCTGGTATTTTCTTCTAGAATGATGTGTTCTACGCAAGTTGTCTTCGTATTTCTCAGGAGGTGGCATGGACAGTGGAATATTTTGCCTTGGGTACATTTGTCACCTAGAGATTTCATCGTGTTGTCTTTTGATTTCAATAGGTTATTCGAATTTGGAAAAATTGCCAAAAATTCTGACTCGTGCTTCGTGAGTATAGGAAGCAAATAATAAAGTTCAAAAATGGATTCAAAATCGATAGGAATCGATAGAAAATAATAAATTCTGTTTTTTTCTATTCTACATTTCACATCTAAGATTGACAAGAAGTCTAGGGAAAGAAAGTTGATTTTTATAGTGCAGTGAAATTCTTTCTAGTTCGAGAAACAAGTCTTTTGGTTTAATGATGCTAGGATGCATAGTTCTTAGTTTACAGAATGTCAATGAATTCTCAATATCCTGTTAGACATCAGTCGACTAGATCAGTCGGCGAGGATGAAGTTCCAGTGAAACTCTTGAAATATGCTGCCAATGAGTTAAGTGAGCCTTTGGCATACCTAATCAACATTTCACTGTCAACTGGTTTATTTCCGAATAAACTGAAAACAGCATTTGTGAGGGCTATATTCAAAAAAGGCGACAAAAGTGTCATTAATAACTACAGGCCTATTGCAATTCTATCAAATATCAGTAAGATATTTGAAAAAATAATATGTTCAAGATTGACTAACTTTCTGGAATCTAACAATCTTTTATGTGATAGACAAAATGGATTCAGGAAGAAAAAATCAACAATTCGTGCTACTTATCAGGCATTATGTAAAGTAATCGAATCTCTGAATGAGAAGCATGTAACCACTGCTGTCAATCTGGATCTATCTAAGGCATTTGATAGTGTAGACCACCTCTTACTAGCCAAAAAACTGTCTCTTTATGGCATCAGAGGTTTAGCACTCAATCTTCTTACTTCTTATCTCAAGAACAGGTATCAGTGTGTGACAGAATTGAATAAAGATGGCCACTTTATATATGAAAAACTACTGATTACTCGAGGTGTACCTCAAGGATCAGTACTGGGCCCCCTGTTGTATTTACTTTATGCCAATAATGTACCTGAAGTTGTTGAAGAATATATGGTTCTATATGCAGATGACTGCTCGATTATTTTCAGCTCTGATGATCGACAATCAATACGATGCAATATCACTAGAACTTTGAATACACTGGAGGAATATTTTTCAATGCATAATCTGAAGCTGAATAATAGTAAGACCCAAATAATTCCTTTCACACAAAAAATTGATGAGGACAGCTTCAACCATGGCACAACTTCCTTGTATCCCGTTTCTAAACTTTCATTCTTAGGTATCACGCTTGATTCGAAGCTAAATTGGAAATGCCATATTAGTGAACTTTCTAAAAAAATATCGAGATACTGCTATGCTTTGAAAGTCATCTCACAAAATATATCTATAGATGCAGCTTTGCTGGCATATTATGCCTTCGTTCAAAGTCGTATTAGATATGGTATAATTTTCTGGGGAACATCTATGGATGTCAAGAAGATATTCATACTGCAAAAACGTTGTCTACGAAATATTTTCAATGTTTCACAGAGAAGTAGTTGTAGGTCTTTATTCGTGGATAAGAAGATTCTTAGTTTGATTAGTTTATTGATCTATGAAGCAGTCATGTTTGTAACTGAAAACATGGAGTTTTTCACATGCTATGACAGAAAACACAGACATAACACTAGAAATAAAAACAATCTTCTAAATATCAGGTCCAACTTTGCATATATACAAAAAAATATTCCCTTCTCATTGATCAACATATATAACAAATTACCCGAATCATTAAGAACACAGCCCATTAGAAAGCTGAAAATTGAATTAAAAAACCTGCTTTTCAAAAAAGCATATTATACACTTGACGAGTATTTCACAGATACATTAGAGTAGATATTTATTAATTTCTAGCACACTGTTTCATTTTATATATATAAGTTATAGTGATTTTATGACTGTGGTAACACTCTTATCCAATTTTTTTGTTTGTTTTGTTTGTTTTTTTTTACCTTTAGATGTAGACAATGAGTGATTCATCACCAAGCTTATTTATATACTCACATTTTCTTCTGTTTTTAATGTAGGTATGATATTCATGATTTCAATTCATTGTTTTTTTTTATTATTATTATTATTATTATTTTTATTATTATTATTATATACTTGATCATATTGACATGTTCTACACCTAAAAAGGTATTTTAAAGGAACTAATAAAGGATATCTATCTATCTCTAAGTATTCCACTGAAAAGAATAATCATCTGATTGAAAATATCCTTGGCATAAAATATGTTGATTTTGAATTTCGTGCTTTAAAAGGTTTTTCAGCTGTAAGTTCCTTGATGTAAGTTCAAGTTCATTATGTTGGATGTCTCGTATTATATCATTGAATTTTTGGGCAATTTGATTATTCAAACTATATTGCATTTTTGCTCTTAGAGTTTAATTTGATTTGATTTCAAATGATCTGAAATATTATTGATTCTCTCGCCATCTGCGGCGTCGAGATTTCCAGATATGCCTTTAACAATTGATCCTAAACCATTAATCAATCCACGTTTATTCCTGATGGGTTTGGGTGATCGAATTTTTTGTCTATACTTGCTCGTATATAATTCAGAATGGTGACGTAGTTTTCTACAGATCGGTTGTAAATTATGTTATCCTTGAGGTTAGGGCTGATATTGATGTACTGAATGTTCAACTTATTGTATTCTTCGATAAGTGGCTTGCTATCATAAAAATGAGTGAAAGTGTGTTCTGTTCTTTGAACTTTTGCTGGACCTAACTTGATTGGAAGGATTCCTAAGTTGTGTGTGATGTTTTCTATTTCTGTTGCATGTCTGAAGTAGAAGTAGGAGTACCTGAAATAGTTTTCAGTTCAGTTTTCTGTCTTGGCCTTTTAATATCAAAAAGATGGATTTTATCTGCAGTGTTTTTATGTGTTGGTTCGATTTTAGCGGTTTTCAGTTCAGCGTCAATACTTTTTTTCGCGTTTGAATTTATTCAAGGTTTTCCTCTGCTGGTTCTTTATTCTCGTTAGCTTTCTGAATAACAGTTTCTTTACCCTTTTGCAAATCATTATTCAATTTTTGGTACAACAATTTCACCTTGTCTTTATGATTAGTGATATAATTATTAACTAATTGTTTTTCGAT